CTTAGTCTTACAAATAATGCGGGGTAGATCCAAACTCAAATTTGTCATTTTGATAAAAACCCATATTTTTCTAAATTCCATCAGTACCCTTAATCAAAATCCCACAAATTCCGTTACTTTACCTTTTGAAAGATATCAAATCCCTCCCTATTTTTCCGTTAAAACACTATCCCCACTAAACCCACTTCCAAATTCTACAAAATTCCAAAAAACTAGAAAAATTATACGCCGGGAAGAGAGCACGCTATTCGGGGGATCGACGCCTTTCTGCACTCCGACCACTCTGGCACTGGTACGTCTTCGCCGCTTGTTGAAACGCCGTCACCCATCGATATGTTGATGTGTTTTTGCTTAATCGACTGTGACTTTGGTTTATTTGCAGATATTTTCTAAATTGCCTACAGATATCGCGCCCTAAATCTGTGGTTTTGCAACGATCGATGGGCAAGACATCCACCAGAAGTGGTAACCCATGTCAATTTTTTTTGTTTAACTACAACGTGGTAGTCATCTTATATTGGTATTAATGTAGATCGTTTTTAAAAAAAATTACGTCGTGATATATACATCGTTATTGACTGATGATGTTTGTCTTGGAGGAGGATTCACGTAGTCGCAAGAGGAGGGTTCACGTATTCTGACCAGAGTTGTTTTATATGAGTATCGTAGTTGGTTTACGCAGTAATCGGAATAAAAATTTGGTGTGGTCGAATTGATGAAGTTGAAACAGATTGATAGTTGTTTTGTTTGTTTACAGCAGTCGATTTTAATGTATTATGTAGTACATTGAAATATATTTGGTAGTCTATTTAATCAATTATCGTAGTTCGAGGCACATGATGATTTATTATGAACGAATAGGCTTCAACATGTGTTGGTTTTGTTTGTATGTCGAGAATAACGGGTCGCCCCAAGTTCGTAATAATAATGAAGTTGTTGTTTCTGATGATGCTGGAACAGGGGGTGTGGGTGAACTAGTTGGAGCTGTTGATGCCACTGGAAGTGAGGCATTGAATGCAGACGTTGTGCAGTTGTCCGACGAAGAAGTCGATTGCATTCCTGATGATAGCGTCGAGGACATAAACTCAATGAATTCAATTGATTCCGATGGTTGTTATTTTCCAAACCCCCCTAAGATTTGATATGTTTAATTAATGTCGTGTTTACGATGTAATGGCTCGGTAACTTCAGTTAAGTGTTAAACCGTTGTAATATATTAGTATACTATTATGAATACCGTATGATACTACCATTATCTTTTTATTATACTATTATGAGATTATTAATGTACTAGACATTTTTAACTCGACATATTGGTTTGATTGTGTTATGATGTGTTTTCAGTATTTTATTTGTTATGTTGGAATTACTTTACGTTGGTTTTGTTCTCAATATTAATGTTCTTGTCATTTTAGTGGTATATTGTTTGTAACACAATTTCATACTACTACTATAACCGTAATATACTATCATGGCAGATTAATGTACTATATTGAAATCATTAATATACTATGTTGAAATAGACTACGAAATATATTTCAATGTACTACCGAATACATTAAATAGACTGCCAAATACATTTCAATGACAAGAAATTAACATTATCAAATGAACTTAAAAATGCATAATCCAGATAATCAATTAAAATAGACTACGAAATATGTTTCAATGTACTACCGAATACATTAAAATCGACTGTTGTAAACATGCAAAACAACTATCGATCGGGGTCAACTTCATGAACTCGACCACACCAAATGTTTATTTCGATTACTGCGTAAACCAACTACGACACTCATATAAAACAACTCTAGTCAGACTACGTGACCCTCCTCTGGCAACTACGTGAATCCTCCTTCAAAACAAACATCATCAGACAAAAATAACGATGTATATGTGACGACATAATTTTTTTAAAAAACGATCTACTTTAATACCAATTGAATCAACATATCAACACAAACCTTATAATGGCTAACCACCATAACACAACAACCCTTGCACATGACAGCGAAAAAATAAACGAACAAAAACTGTTCATACTCACGTAATCATGAAAACGATGAAAACGCTCAGATCCGAAAATACTAGCACGCCGGTGAAAAATTCTTCCTAGCCGGATTGCACACGATTTGATAATGATGAAAACGATGAAACCACCAATATACTCACGTAATTTTAATCCGTGATTATAGGCAACGTATCAGCAATCCCATATCACGTCGTTAAGGAAAAAACTGCCGTCCAAAAATAAAATCGGGGTATTATAGGGAAATTAAATAATATATTGTGCCAAGTTGGCATAATTGAGTGTATCTCAAAAGGGGGAAAATCAAATGGATCTACCTCATTAAGAAATCTCAACAAGGAGGTTATCCCTAATCAATCCTTAAAAATAAGGTAAGGGGTATAATTGTGATAATTAATTAATTTTTATTAATAAAAGATGTTTTTAATTTATCTTAAAAATAAGAGATAAATTTGGGTTCATTATAATTGGACTTTTGTGATGAGGGTGTTTTGTGAAATAATCCATATATATATATAGAGAGAGATCAGAGAGAGAGAGAGAGAGATACAGATAGATATATATTTTTATATATATACTTACAGATATATATTATAAATATATATACAGAGAAGTATATATATATATATCAATATATATCAATATATATATATATATATATATATATATATATACACACACGGACATATATATATATAGAGAGAGAGGGGGAAATTAATATTTCTTTTTTTTTTTGTTTTTTTTTAAGAAAAAACCGGTTCAAACGGTTAGAACCGCGGTTCTAACCGTCGGTTCCCGGTTCCAAAAATGAGGAACCGAAACCGAACCGGTTTTTTCGGTTCCAGTTCCAGTTCCGGTTCGATTCTAAAACTGTTGACTCCGATTGGATTTCTGGTTCCGGTTCTAACCGAACCAATGGTCAAGTCTACCTAATGCCATGTAACATATCATTGTTTTAGAATTTAAAAAAACAAATCAAGATATTTATTTATAAAATACGAACTACTGAGCTCCTCGAAAATCGAAACCATGTTGTTTGATGATTCAAATCCTCGTCACACTTTCCAGTTCTGGATAAGATATATTTCTTTATAATTTATTTTTTTCTTTCTTCACAGGCTGAAGCATATGAGACTTTTCAAATTATACTAATCTTGCACTCTGACAATTCCCTAATTTCAAATCCAATGTTGTTTGGATTTATATTTCCTTTCATTAATTGATCATTATGGATCTAAGACTCATATATGTCTAAATTACGTTAGGTAATATCAAATTATGAAAAAAATCATTATATTTAGATAATTACAATCACCTATTTACTATTAATTTTCTTATACATCCATTTTCATCGTGTTAATTTACTGAAATTCTATAAATTATGTTGAATATTCTCCATTTTGTACCCGTTTTATTATATTCCAGTTCCATATTTTAAAACAAGATGATAATAATATGCGTATCTTGACTTGTAAATATCAGATTGTGGTGCATCATCAGAAATTACATTTTGCCACAAAACAAGTACAAAATAGAAAACATTCAACATAATCTAGAATCTAGAAATTCTGTTGAATTTGACACCATTAAAGTACAACTTTAAAAAGATCATATTTGAGGAGTGATCGTAATTACCTAAATATGATGGATTTTTTCTACTCTTAATTTTACTTTAACTAATGGAGTAGATGGCCATAATTTACCCTAATAAATATCTAAATAAAGATATTATTACGTGAGATATTTAACTGGTTTTAACTTTTATGTAGATAGATCATAGATAGAGCAATAAATGTGAAGGAAGAAATATCCAAAAACACAAAAAAACAAAAAATTAAAATAAATAAAAGAAAAAACAAAAAGAAAAGTGTTGCAAAGAGATAAAGACGTTGAAGTACGAGAAAAACAATCCTTATCCAAACATCATTAACCTCGTGTCAATCCAATCCCTCCAAAACAAAATCCCATCCATCACAACCACACACATATATATATATATATATATATATATATATATATATATGAAAAACAAACCCAAAATCAAAAAAATAATTCAGTCACCATCTCCATTTTCTTTTTATAACCTAGCATAAGAAATAAAAAAAAAAAAAAAAAAAGAAAAGAATGTTGGCAATATTTCACAAGGCGTTCGCGCATCCACCGGAAGAACTAAAAAGCCCGGCATCCCACAAACAATCCAAGAAACCAAAGCTGCCGGACGAAACCCTACAAGAATTCCTCTCCACCCACCCCGCCACCACCACCTTCTCCATGAACTTCGGCGACGCCGCCGTGCTCGCCTACGTCAGCCCCGCCGACAACGACCACCACTCCTTCCTCCACCACCACAACAACCAGAGGCTGTTCTGTGGGTACGATGATATATACTGTCTGTTCATGGGGAGCCTGAACAACCTGTGCGCACAGATCAAGCAGTACGGACTGTCGAGAACCGCCAACGAGGCTATGCTCGTTATCGAAGCTTACCGTACGCTGCGGGACCGCGGCCCTTACCCCGCCGACCAGGTTATTAAGGATCTTGACGGCAGCTTTGCTTTTGTTGTCTACGACAGTAAAATTGGGACTGTTTTTACTGCTCTGGTAATTTTTTATTTTATTTTTATTTTTATTTTAATTTAATTTAATTTAATTGTGACTGTTTTTTTGTGCGAATAAGTTAATTGGAAAAAATATAGTTTTGGTCCGTTAAGTTTGCACCGTTTGGTCGTCCATGTTAAAAAAAACACATTTAGTATCTTATATTTCAAAAATTCAACATAGTTAGTCATTTCGTTCAATTTTTCGTTAAAACTAACGGAATCAAGCTAACGGAGTAACGGAAAATTGATGGAAAGAACCAAAAGTGTTAAATCATTGGAACATGGGAGACCAAATGTATTTTTTTTTTTTTTTTTAACACGAGGATCAAATGTGAAATCAATGCAAAATTGTACTTTTCCCTTAATTAATTTGTACTTAATTTGTTGGTAATTTAATTAATTTAGGGTTCTGATGGTGGAGTGAAGTTGTACTGGGGTATAGCTGCTGATGGCTCTGTTGTAATTTCTGATGATTTGGGGGTTATTAAAGCTGGCTGTGCCAAATCGTTTGCTCCATTTCCAGCTGGTATATGAATAATTTGAATATGGTTAATTGTTTAATTTTGAAAAAGTAAATGGGTTTTTTTTAATTTTAATTTTTTTAATTTTGGGCAGGGTGCATATTTCATAGTGAATCTGGTTTAATGAGCTTTGAGCATCCGATGAATAAGCTGAGGGCAATGCCGAGGGTGGATAGTGAAGGGGTGATGTGTGGTGCTAATTTCAAGGTTGATTTGTATTCCAGGGTTAACAGCATTCCACGTGTCGGGAGTGAGGCTAATTGGGTTGATTGGAATAATGCTAATTAATTATTTTTTTAGTTAATTAGCCTTTGATTTGGTCTCTTTGATATTTATCAAGATATATCATGTATTGATCATGAACAATTTACCAGGTTTTTGTTTCATTTGATCTTTGTTTTCCTTTCTTTAATTTGTTTTTTCTTGTTTGTATTTGTTGTTTCTTGCTGAACAATTGCTCGTAAAATGTATATATTCCGCGGAATTTGAATTCCATTTTGCCAATATTTTTTTTTGGTATTTTTGAGCATATTATTGGAATGAAGCTTGCTGTTGTGGTATATTGTAGCTAGCTCGTTTGGCTAAATGTCTCTAAACAACTGATAAGTTGATAAATTGTTATAAGAACCGATAAGTTGTTACATTTTTTTAAATGTTTGTATAATAAATTTATAAGCTGTTTTTAATTATTATAAGATTTTAAATAAAAAAATGTGTAGAATATCCTATAAATAAAATCTTAAAAAGTTTTTCAGTAACTTGTTTTTTTGATTTTAAGATATTTTTTTCCAAAAAACTACCGAACACCTCCAAAATATCTTAGAAGCTTTCTTTTAACATGTTATAAGCATAGTCGAAAGCTAAAGTCTCAGAGTTGAATTAGTATATATTACGACTTGTGCTTGAGATGATCAACTATACACACACAAAATAATTATGAGCAGGATGAACAAAAGATTTTACGAAGTTCGATTCCAATGAGAAATCTACATCCGGGGAGTAGAGCTACTCCAATATAATCCACTATAATTAGGAATACATAATACAAGATACAATCTTAGATTATCAGAAAGCTTCAGTTACTACAATCCAGCAGGTTCCTTCGACCCTACACCCAGTGATAAACACCGGGTGGGTCTTCTGCTGCCACGTATCCTTTTTTTTTTTATTTTTCTAAAATTTCTACAGGTAAACTCTAGCGGGGAATATATTATAAAATACAAAAATGATACACGTGGCAGCAAAAGACACACCCGGTATTTATCACCGGGTGTAGGGTCGAACAAATCAATCCAGCATATTCGATTTCCCGTGTTTCTCTCAACACCAATATATATATATATATATATATATATATATATATATATATATATATATATATATATATATATATACACACACACGATCTCTCCCTTGCTTTCCCGCTACCTCCACCAGCTTTATATACGACGCCCAAAAAACTACGGCAATGTTTGGAAGCGTTTTGGATCTTATTTTGCTTTCATTTTGAGGAAATATGTCTTGGGGGGATAATTTGAGAATGAAAATAATGTTTGTTTGTATTTTGGAAGGAGACAAAATACACTGTAGCAGTCAAATCATGTTTAAAGGTGTTAGAAAAAAATATTTTTGAAGAAAAAAATTGAAAGATGAAGTGATTTTTATTTGTTTTTTAGTGAATACAATTTTTACTGTAGCACTCAAATCATTTACTGTAGCAGTCACATGATGTCTGAAGGAGAGAAAAACTTTTGAAATTGTTTTGAGAAAATGATTTGAAAAGTGTAATAAATCCCATTTTGTTTTGGGGAAAGAATGAAAACAAAACAAAAATGTCCAAACACTACAAATCACATGCTCTCTCTGGTGGCCCGAAAGCTGACATTGCAATAACAGAAAGCATGCGCACTGCATGTGCCAATGCATGTGCTTATCACGTGGTTCGTTAACTCCGTAATGTGATTAGAGTTATCCAGAAGATGTGATCACTTGCTAACAATATTTTATTTAGGTCACATTTATTAGTAAGTGTTATTAATATATTGTTTACATTATAATATTAATGATACCCTTGGTATATGAAATATTTCAGTTGATTAGATATGCATCATCTTTATGCTGCATGGCATGTTGAAGCTTAAAGAAAACGTTAATTTGTTTTCGATGTTTGTGTAGCAGCAGTCATAATTTATAAAATTAAATTTTAATTAATTAAGAAACAACAAACGCTCCAAAAAAAAAAAAAACTGTTGATTAATTAACTACCGAAAAAGTTAAATAAATGTGGATCGAGTGGTTTTATTACTGATAATGAAGATAAATTTTACAGGTGCTCTTCTCTCTCATCTCTCTCTCTCTCTAAAATCAGGCGGCTTCGGACAAACCGACGAGTTTCTCACTGATCTCCCACACTTTACGCGCCTTATCGGCATTACTCGCCTCTTTGGACAACTGGTTCTCAAACGAGGCCGAATCTTTATTCCAGCTCCAATACACACCGGACTTGGTCAAACTCGGGTCACTCACCACCTGCGCGAGTCTCTCTCCGGATTCCTCCTCCGTCACAAACCCCTTCGTAACGAACTTCTGGAACACCGGAAAAAGTAGCCTGAACAACGGAATATGCTCTCTGAAGAGCCCGGTAGTCGCTATGCAGCCAGGGTACAGCGAGGCGAACGTGATCCCCGTCTCCTCGTGGTACCTCCGGTGGAACTCCTGCATCGTCAGCATGTTGCACACTTTGCTGTCCTTGTACGCCTTCGCCCCGTCGAACCCTCCGCCGTCGATCATGGTGGAGCTCAGCCCGTTCAGCCCGCCCTGGAGCCCGCGCATGTCTCCCAGGCTCGCCTTCGGGGGCACATTTCCTGCCAGGGTGTTCGTGTTTCCGGTGATGGAGCCGACGATTATGAGTCGCTTGGACGGGTAGTCGGATTGTTTCATTTCGTCGAGGAGGAGCCTGGAGAGGAGGAAGTGGCCTAGGTGGTTGGTGCCGACGCTCAGCTCGAAGCCGTCTGCGGTGAACGACGGCTCCCTGGCGGTCGGCTGGTAGACGGCGGCGTTGCACACGAGGACGTCGAGCGGGCGGCCGGAGCGCTTGAAGCCGTCCGCGAACTGGCGGACGCTGTCGAGGGAGGAGAGGTCTAGGTGCATGATGGTGTAGTTCTCCTTCGACATGCCGGCGGCTTTGGCGGCTTTCTCCGCCTTCAGAAAGTCCCGGCACGCCATTACGACGTGCCATTTCCCGGTTTCCGAGAGGGATTTGGCCGTCGCTAGCCCCAAACCGGAGGAGGCTCCGGTGATTATTACGGTGCCTTTTCTTAGGGTTTTCTTACCTTGGACCGTCGAAGGGGTGAATGTCGGGGCGGTTGTTGCCGCCGCCGACGCCACCGCCTGAACCCTAATCGAAGACGACTTTCTTGAATTGAATAACCCTCTCTTCATGTCAGCCTTGACATGATCTATTAGTGGAAATCCAAAGAGGCTCGACTCCTTCAACGATGATTTTCCCTACAAAAAATTAACAAAATTTAATTTTTCATAATACGAAAGCCGAATATTATTACTCGAATAATAATACATTACATTAATTTATATATAAAAAAGTATATATATAAGTTTATGAAATGAATTAGCATAGGCTGACCTCTTTGTGAAGGGAGAATGAAGAAGGGGCAAACACATGAGCAGCAGTTTGTAGAGCCATTATCAATTAATGAAGTTGAATTTGCTTTTATTAAACTTTGGAATTGCTAAAAAAATCTCAGTGTAGAAGTTGGTACTATTGATGGTGTGTGCACTCATGTATATATAGTACAAGAGTGTTGCAAGATTTTGGACAATGAATTAAAAATATTAATAATAAAGATTTGGATATGAAAATGAAATAAAGCAAGGATAAGATAATATTATTTGGAATTACATGCCACCTGGACTGTGAATACCAATCAGAATTTGTGGTTAGGATTTCCTAACTTTTATTTTTTTATTAATTATTATTTTGTAGTATAGGTCTGCAAACAGTTATGGGGTGAATGAAATAAGGTATGGAGAAATAAAATCATAGGATGGATAATTGGATAATGTTTATTCTTACAGTAACAGCAGTCTGCAAACAGCAGGGTCTAGTTTTCACTTCTTTGCCACAAATCAAGATTTGGTAATTTATTCATTTATTATTAACTGTTTTTTTTTTCTTTCTTTTTTCACCTTCATTGTATAACTAAAAGATATTTCTCCATTCTTTATGCAATTCAAAACACTTCAAAATAGATAGACATTCGCCAGCAGTAGTATTTCCGATTTCCAATTTCCGATTTCCGATTTCCAATTTCCAATTTCCAATTTCCAATTTCCGATTTCCGATTTCCGATCTCCGATTTCGCGTGTACAAAAGTACAAACAAGGGCAAAGATAAAAATTGAATGAATTGATATAGTATTTTTGCTTACATTTATGATACTCGTAACTCTACAATTGCCGATTACACAAAATAAAATCGGTTTCTAACCCCAATAGTATAACATCTTCTTTCACCCCCCGCCCCGCCCTACCCACCCCAGCTGAGGACTCTTCATCCGAGGCAATGGTACGATCAAGAAAAAAAAAAATAAAGAACTCGCGAATGTTACAATCTCACAGAATATCTACACAAATTTTGCTGACTTAGGGGGCAGAGTTCTTTAGGCACTTAACTGTAATAACAGCTTACATCCGAACGGGCAACCCGAAATTCTGGAACGTTCTGATTTCACCTCTAAGTCCAGCAGTAACTATAACCATACCCCACGCGGATCTATTCTGATAAACTCCGTTCGTAAAGTCAACACTTACGCGTGGACTACTCCGATTCTTCTTGCCGGCAGCCAATAGAGCCTTCTCCTCAGGCCAACTCCCCGATATCCTATCGAACAGATAGCCGTTTGTGACACTAGACAGCGTTCCGTTGAGCGGGCTGTTGCTGCTTCCGGAAGCTACCGGAGAGTTCTCGCCGCCACCGCCGTTGGTTGCTTCTTCGACGGGGGTGGTGGGGTGGTTGGCGGTGGAGAGGTCTTCGTGGTTATCGAAATGACCGTTTTGCCCTTGGGGGGCGCCGCCCCCCCATGTCTCGGACAAGCCTGGCCATGGGATTGCGACGGAGACATCTTGACTGTGGAAGAACTCGTAGGATCTTGTGACGGTGACGCCTTTGCTTCTGTTTGGGCGGGACCCGCCTTCGTGCCGCCACACGTATACGTAAGAGTCCTCGCTGGCGGAAACTACGTATTTGCCATTGGAGGTTAGGGAGGCTGAGATTTGGCTGTTTGTGTTACGGAACCCTGTTGAAGATTCATCATTAAAGCTTAAACAAAGAATCAATAGAAATATGGTTTAATTTTCTTATATTTTCTCGCAATTATGTATATCTGCAATAACTAAAAGGTAATTAGAGAATTGTAAACAACCACAACACCACCTTTTAGAATTTAATGACACAATTAAATTCTAAATAAAGAGAAAAAATAAAATCGAGTGCATCTCCATACCTTTGAACTTGTGAGCAAGATCAACACCATCAACGACTCGGACACGGGAATCTGCAGATGTGACGAGCACTTCTGATGTACTTCCAGGTGCAAACTATTGAATAAAAAATATATTAGTAAACTTCAAGAATCGACTTTTTGTTTCTCTAGAATAACAACCGTATAAGAGCCAAAATAGAAAATGGTAATACGCAATTGACTGAATGGATATTCGTAATAGGCAAAAATGGTGTACCTGGAAACCAGTGATTTTCTTGAGATGAGATTTCTTCTTCTTATTCTGCAGATTGATCTGGCTTTTCTGCTGCAATTTATTATCTGCATAACATGAAATATATATATAATTACTTATTTACTCACAATAGAAATTTATCATTCTCAAAATAGCTATCGTATTCGTATCGTACCTGATGTGTTGTATAGGCGACAGCTGCCTTTGTACGAACCAACCAATGCCCCCTACAAAATTTTACAGACATATCTTTGGAGAACAAGCTAAGAGATATGTGTAATTAAAACGGATGTTTTCGCAATCATAACGCAAAATGATATCAGATGAAGTAATTCCAGCCTTGGTATAATCCAAGCCTAACCTGCCCATCTGGTGTGTAGCAGGCTGCAGTGACCATTTCATGCAAATCATTCCAGTCGACAACTTGGTGGTCGGGAATGCTCCATATTCGCACCTTTGCATCTAAAGAACCACTGATGAAGTAGTTATCATCGACGGGATTAAACTGGATGCATGTTACTGTTTCACAGAAATCAAGAAAATTTATCAATAATTAAATTGTATAACTGCATCCAAAGATTGCTGAAAATAGTATTTGATTACATTAAGATTGAGACAAGCACATTAAGGCAAGAAACTCTCGAACACTGCATAGAAACTTTATTATTACGTATCCCATAATTTAACCCCCTATCCGCACTAGTTTTCTTTATTACCAACCGATTAAAACCCACAAAGCTAGTCTAATTATATCTACCAGAATTCCGATTTTACCCTCACCATTTCAATAAAATCATTTCTTACAGCAGATTTCCAGTAACAAATAGCCAATCATTTCTTATAATCATCGTGGACCAATTCATCGACGGTAGGGTTATTTATATTATATAACCCGAGACTCTTAATATTAAAAGAGTGGAATAGATTGGTGGCAATTACCATAGTCACTATGTGAAAAGATCTTTAAACAAGTCCTGCTACACAAGTCCCATAGCCGCACTGTTTTGTCCATTGAAGATGAGAGCAGTTGCTGGAGAGAAGAGAGAACTGTAAGGAAATTTTTAAGTGCTTAAAATTTAACTGAAACCGACAAAATTTGGAATACGAAACATAAAATAGAACTTAAGAACGTTGCCATGGAAACGTGTAATGTCTATACAATATACATTGGCATAGTAGCTCATGTTTCGATGTCCCAACATATTGACAATTCAATAGCTCAAATAATCAACACGACACTGAAGATTGAAAATTGAAATACGGTTGCCAATGTTGTAAGATTACAAGCTGCAGACCAATTAAAACGTAAGAATGTTTCTCTTGTTCATGTCCAACATTAAATAACCCTCGCAAATAGTTTATACAATAAAAGAAAACTAACAGCTTTGTAATGTATAAGAGAGTTGTTTAACTTTACTAATCGTGTTCGGTGACTGCTTCTAATTCAAACAAATGACCGTATTAATTCAAGGGCGTGTCTTCCAAATCACAAGCAAAACATTTTTAAGACTCATTCTTATTCTTTTTCAATACTTTACTTAAGGTCAACTCCTAAATTTCTTTGTACAGAAAGAACCCAAATTCCATCAGCAAACCTATTACCCATAATTCATACTTTCTCAACCAGAATTCAACATGCAATCAGTACCTTACCCAAAACATTAATGTACATCAAAACACTATGGTGGTGAAAAAGCAAAGAGAATTATTTAAAAAAAAAATGTCAACTGACCGAAGATTTCGACCAGGAGAGGTCCAGCACATCATCCAAATGTCCTCGAAACGAACAAAATGGTTTTTCCGAAAGGCCAAACACAGTCTCCGGCAACATTATTTGTTCTAAACTCACAGACTTTCGACTTATAGATGACCTCCCTCTTCTTTTCTTCTCCGAAAGAACATCTAAATTCGGCGACATCGAAGAAGGCTCGGGCGATCCATTCGCTAAAGACAGAAAATTCAAATTCCCATCTTCCAATTTATCAAAAAACAGATCTCCCTTCCTCTCTGTTTCCACAACCTGCCACACATGAATCACGCAATCCTCTCCAGCGCTAGCCAGATATTTACCGTCCAAACTAAACTTAATCGCCCAAATCGAACCATTATGGGCCTGTATCTCCTGCAGTTTCGGTGTATATATAGCGTTACCATATCAGG